CCTTCCTTCCTTCCTTCCTTCCTTCCTTCCTTCCTTCCTTCCTTCCTTCCTTTCTTCTCTTCTCTTCTCTTCTCTTCTATTCTTTTTTTCCTTCCACTCATTCATTTAATGAATATTTACTAAGGACCTACTGTTGGCCAGTCAATATACTAAGGGGCTGAGGATTAAGCACTTAACAAGATAAGACATTAAGCAAGTGATAGAGGAAAACAACAACATTCAAAGTCTGTGAGTGGAAATGAACATGGCATTTCCAGGAAATGCCACAGGAGTGGATCAAAGAGACAGAAAGAGAGCGGATGAAATTATACACAAGTGCACAATCATGAATGTCTTTATTAAAGGTCTTGGGTTTTAGTCCAAGTGCAATGGAAGGCTTTGGCTGGGGATGGTGGTGGGAGGTTCTGTGAACATATTTTCCTCTTTTTTTTTTTTTTAGACCATTCTGTCTGCCTAGAGTAAAACCTCGTCAGGACACAAGGACCAGCAAGGAGGCTATCACAGTGCCTTTGTTAAAATATACTGTGGATATGAATCAGGGTGGTAGCAAAAGGGATGGAGAGAACCAGGGAATCTCCCACGCTTTTAGGAAGTACCCACCTATCAGAGTTTGGTAACAAATAGAGGAGAATAGGTATTAGGAGGAATCTAAATAAGGAATTAAGGGAAATAACTTTTGGGGACTTGGTTTGAACTGCTAGGTGAGGGGTGCTTTTCATGGAGACCAAAAACACCGGCATTTGGGAAGAGCAAACTCACTTCCTTAATTTGCCTTTCTACATGTATAGGTGAAGCTGAACATTGTTTTTTAAAATACATATTTATAACTTAGAACACAATATGTCCTCAACAGATATTTGTTAAACATTCATTACTGAATAGGTTATCCTTTGTCCATTTTTCATTTATGTAGACCTTAAAATATGTGCCCTAGACTGAGAAAAGCCTAGATTTGATTCCCAGCTTCACCTTAATCCCATTGTTCTGAGGTATAAGTTCCTCATTTAAAAAAGGGAGAAGATGGTAGATACCACTACCATCTACCTACCAGAAGTTGTTTAGAGGATTAAAAGATACATAAATATATAAAATGCTTTGCATACTGTAACTGCTATGTAAATGTTGCTCATTATTATGACTATCCATAAATCAGAAATAAATTATTACTAATAACAATAATTTACAGGTTCTGCTTAAATATTATAGATATTAACTGTTTGTCTATAAATATTTTGCAACTTTTCCACTTGTCATTTGTAATTCGGCTTGATTTATTGTATCTTTTGTATTTAAAATCTTATGTAAAGTCTATCTTTGTCTTCATATATCTTCTCTTTTGTCATGCTAAGAACTGGTTTTCCTCTCCTCCCATTATACACATATTCTCTTGCATTTGCTTCTTTTTTTAAAGATTTATTCATTTATTTTAAAGACAGAGAGAAAGCATGAACACAAGTGCATGCATGGGTAGGGAGAAGGGCAGAGGGAGGGAGAGAATCCTCAAGCAGATTCCCTGCTGAGACCATGCTCTGAGCCAAAATCACAAGTCAGATGCTTTACCAACTGAGCCACACAGCCGCCCCTCTTGCATTTTCTTCTAACAGTTTTATTTTCACACCTATATTATTAACATAAATAGAATTTATTTTTGTATGTTTTTCAAATGCTTCCCATCATAAATGGTTAACTAGCTAATCTCTGCAATAAATGTATAATTCACATTACCTACTATTTTACATGCTGCTTTGTAATATATTACATTCTCATAGATAATAAAAACTTCTTTTAAGTAACTGAAGAAAACTATACAAAAGCATTCACTACTACATTGTTTGTAATAATGAAAACCTATAACTTCCCAATATTCGTCAGTAAGGGGACTGGTCAAATTAATTATGTTTTCCACATATATTGGAATATTGCACAACCATTCAATACTATAAGGTAGATCCACATGTACTACTTACATGAGAAGAAGTCCACACTATATTGTTAAGCATAAAATAAAACGAAAACAAAAATATGCTCAAAATCAGTATTCACAGTATTGTCTCATTTTTTTAAAAAATAATAATAATTATAAATAAATACAGAAACATTTACATATGCATCTAAACAAGTTTGGGAGCACAGTCACCAAAATTTTTTTTTTTAATATTTTATTTATTATTTGACAGAGAGAGACACAGCCAGATAGGGAACACAAGCAGGGGGAGTGGGAGAGGGAGAAGCAGGCTTCCTGCTGAGGAGAGAGCCTGATGCGGGGCTCGATCCCAGGACTCTGGGATCATGACCTGAGCCGAAGGCAGAGGCTTAACGACTGAGCCACCCAGGTGCCCCACCAAAATTTAAACTAGGTAGATTTATTTATAGGAGATAGGATAGGTTACTCTATCTTTCATTTTTTACAATTTATACTTCCATATTGATTGAGTAGTTTTACAGACTGCATTTTCTATAATCAGGAAGTAAATAAGGGAAAAAAATAAGCTTTACCTGCAATGGCTTCATAGAGACCAGCTTTGTACCCTAAGTACTCGTACTCTTCAAATCTCTGAGGCCCCTCGCACAGGGCTCTGCACTCCATATCTTCACTGAAATATTCTCTTAAAGCTTGCTCAAAGTACTTGATAGCAAGCTCAAAGTCATCAGCCTCATAATGTTTAACTCCTGCACTGTAACTCTCCTGCAAAGAAGCAGAAAAAAAAATTACACACACACACACACACACACACACACACACACACGTATTTATTTTTTCCAAAGAGCACCTGTGGAGCACTTGAATAACAGGATTCATGGTCAATCAGGATCATTTGGGCAGGGGGACACTGGGTTCTTGGGCTATGGAAGAATAATGGAGGGTTTTACTGGGAGACAAAAAGTAACTTCCCTGGTTTCAGGAAATTATAAATAAGAATGGTGTTATTGAGCAAGGTGAATGCTGTGGCACCAGTCAATTTCATATTCTTCCTGAGCACAAACATGCAAGACACCATTTTGTAACCCCATCTGAATATAGGTATGGGCATGCAACAACATTCAGTAGATTGATGTGGGCGACCATGACACACCCAATTTCCAGGCTTGGCCCAATTTAATAATAATAATAATAATGCTTCAGTTGAAAATCTCTTATCCTGTTCTTCATCCATCTTGGAAGTCACATGTCAAGAATGGTGACATCTCCAATTGAAAAAAAAAAAAAAAAAAAGCCTTCCCAACTTATTGTGATTTCAAGTAAGCTTTCATTTAAGTGAAAAATTATATAGCTTTAAAATACCAGAATTTGAAAAGTACAGCTACAATAGAAAACCAATGGGCAGGGAGCTGGGAAATCACAGTGTGACCTGAGTAGTTCGTACTGGCTTCAACTCCCATGTGTAAAATTAAAGGTTGGAGGTGGCACTGAGGTTTAGAGGGGGTGATAGATGTTTATATCATGTTCTACTTTTCACTATATCATACTATTTTTTAAGGGCATTTTCACCTTCTCTCAATTTTTTCAACCCCAGTAATAACAATATTTCATCTGAGAACTCTAAAAAATAAAACCATTACCGTATTAGGAATCGAGAATCAACCTGAGACACCCATTCACAGGAATCTGCTTGGAGTCCAGTGAAACTCAGGAACACCTAGCTCTTCCTGATTAGGGCAAGGGTCCCCGGCACTCACTAGATGTGGTTTGGCTTCCAGATCTACAAGCTGGAGTGCTTCCACGCCGGCCATTGTTCTGTAATTCTCAATGTTCTGCTGCATTTCCATGTGCTCGGGGTTGGCCATGAAAAATGTGTGGGCTGCTTCCACTGCCTTTTCCAACTGGTTAAGCTATGGAGAAAAGAAGAGGACCACATGAAGGCAAATATTTCTAACCCGGCTCAGTACCAGTCCAAGGGATAACGGCTAAAGCGGCAGGGCCAGCTTCCAGTTCATATTCGCTGTACGCAATCTCTATACTATAAAGTGGGAGGTTAACGAACAGGGTTCCTAAAATGATATGTGGCTATTCAGGCTTTGATGAAAATAGCTATATGTGCTCTACTCCAAGTTCATTCTTTACCCACTGGGACCTGAGCCACCTGCCTTTCTGGCAAACTGAATCTTTGTACTTCTGTTTGCTTCATGGTCACAATAAAAATCTGCCAATGCTGTGTCATCTCTAATTCATGTTTTTGACATTTTTATCTTTTATTTTCTCTTTTCTCTTTGTTCCTTTGGCCTTTAATCTTGAAAATGGGGCATAAACAAACCTATGCATTTCCAAAGGACAGGAATGAGTCTACCTCCCACTCCACCAAATTTACTGGGCTTTAGAATGTGAAGATTACAGAATTATGATTTTTAAAAATGTTTTATTTATCTATTTGACAGATAGAGAGAGAGACATCCCAAGTAGGCAGAGAAGCAGGCAGAGAGAGAGAGGGGGAAGCAGGCTCCCTGCTGAACAGAGAGCCCGATGTGGGACTCCATCCCAGGACTCCAAGATCATGACCTGAGCCGAAGGCAGAGGCTTTAACCCACTGAGCCACCCAGGTGCCCAAGAATACAAAATTAAAAGGAGTAAACTGTTCCAATGTGTAAGAAATGCTGAATACGGCACATAAAATGCTTTACCACATTCCTTTGAAATACCTGATTCCAGCCTTACAACTTTGATTCTCATCAACACAAAAGGAAGAAATTTTAGTAACCACTACAGACAGTACAAAATCTTCTCCTAAACCACACAATACATTGTACTCTGTGTAAGGCAGCGATGCATTCTTTAACAAAATAGAATTGAATTTACTCGATTTAAGATATTTTTCTCTATGCTTTAGACATAGAGAATGTATACAGACAGTTCTCTTTGCTCCATATCAGAAAAGTGAATATTCATATTGGCAATCTTTCTCATGGTAAATTCCAAATTATGTTTGATCTATTTTGCAGTATGAAGACATGAAAACTCATTGTCATTAAGAAGTAAACATAAAATCAGGGACCAGCATATCTGATTCAACGGAGTCTGTTTTTGACAGTCTTGCCAGTCAGGTATTAATAAGGAATAGAAGTACTGAGTGCCCAAGACCCCAGTTATTGCCATTTTGTGTTATATAAATAATCTTAACCCTTACCATACTGCCCTATTTTAAGACCTGAAATCCTTAACTTTGTTTAATAATAGTAAAACCTTCCCTTTGAATTTGTATACCCTTAGCTACTGGCCTTCCTTCCATTAAGTTTTTGCCTTGTCAACTGCCCCTGCCATTTTTACCTTTGTCCTCAATTCTATGCTCCCAGAATGATTTTGGCTGTTAAAATCATGAATTTTGGATGTGGTTTCTTTCTTAATTTCCATTTTCAACTTCTTATTCACTAAATATGAACTGTGTGGACATCTATAGTGTTGAGTATATAGGTATAGAAGAAAAACAATAGGTTCTAAATTAGATATGTGTCTACACTTACCAAATAAACCTGAAAAAATCATTTAAAAATTTATGACTCAGTTATCCTTTTTTTTAAAGATTTTTATTTATTTGACAAAGATCACAAGTAGGCAGAGAGAGGGATAAGCAGGCTTCCCGCTGAGCAGAGACCCGATGTGGGGCTTGATCCCAGGACCCTGAGATCATGAACTGAGCCGAAGGCAGAGGCTTAACCCAATGAGCCACCCAGGTGCCCCTGACTCAGTTATCCTTAAAGGGAAAAAATGCTCATAAAACCCCCACACTACTATCTACTATATAGGATTTCAGAAGGTTTTAATTGTGTAATATATATAAATGTGCTTCAGAAATCACTAAAATCCTTAAAAATAAACAACAGAATACAATTTGATCCATCCATTTCAAAGATGTAAATAATGATGGTATAAGATGAATGGAAAAAGAACATGTGGTATACACATACACACATACGCGCGCGTGCGCGCGCACACACACACACACACACACACATACACACAGGAATATTACTCAGCCATCAAAAGGAATGAAATCTTGACATTTGCAACAATATAGATGAAACTAGAGGGTATTGTGCTAAGTGAAATAAGTCAGTCAGAGAAAGACAAATACTATATAATTTCACCCATGTGGAACTTAAGAAGTAAAACAGATGAACATAGGGGAAGGGAAGGAGAAAATAAAATAACATGAAAACTGGAGAGGAAGGCAAACCACCAGAGACAGTGAACTCTAGGAAAAAACTGAAGGTTGCTGGAGGGGAAATGGGTGGGGGGAAGGGATAATTGGGTGAAAGCATTAAAGAGGGCACCTGACATAACGAGTCCTGGATATTATAGGCAAATGATGAATCACTAAATTCCACCTATGCAAGTAATTTTAAAAAAGGGGGAAAAAGATGATGGTGTAATCTATGTGTCCAGGGGAGTTACTAATACACTCTGATATACTCTGGTTAATTAAAATTGACAGAACATAAATTTATTTTTTCACTTTCCTACCTTCGTCTTTTGCTTAGGCTGTTCCACCGGTCTAACAGCCTCTGTCCTTTGGTCTTGTCTTATTGAAATCTAACATATCCCATAAAGCCAACCCTAAATCCTGCCTCTCTAAGGGATCTTTTCTCAGCATGATAGCCACAGTCATGTACAGCCATACCATCTTATCCTTATTCCTCTATGAGCACTTATCATACTCTGCTGTATATTTTACCTCCCTGAGTATATCCGTTTTTTTCTAGTAGAGTTCTCTGAGAATAGGGACCACAGGACTTCTTTTTCTTGTTTGTTTTCCACCTACTTTACATATGGATTATGTCTATGATATGTCTGGGGAAAAAAGAGGAAAAAAGAAATTCTAACAAATAAATCTTTTACACACAAATCAAAAAGTATATTACATGTGAGTGTGCTTCATAAGCTCTACTGGCTGAAAAGGATAGTCAGTTTAATAACAACATCTCCAAAGTCACCACTCACACTGAGATCTTGCAATAATGGTTACCAACAAAGAGTGTTTCATAGCTCTGAAAATTGCCAGCCACCACTGACAAGTTAGTTCCTTTTCTTAAATTTTATCATAGTTGTTTGTTCTGTTTTGTTTTGTTTTGGCACATTTGATGTTTTCCCCATTCATTTTCTTTGTTTTCCCCATTTATAACCCAGTATTGAGCATCATATCATCTTCCTCAGTATAAATAATAAGATTCAATGCTTAAAGTTAAACCATAAAACTTATTCATGAACTGGCCATGGTTTTTAAATCATTGTAAACCAGTTCAGGAAACTGGAACTGGCTGCCAATGTCTATAAAAGAAGCCATTATCTTAACTAGAATCTTGATATCTTTGTACTCTATTTGAGAAATCAGATATATACATTTGAAGTGGTAGGAAAAGGGGTAAATACGTGTATGCTGCATATAATGCCATATTTTGGGATGGAGATTATTATAAGGCCTTGTAAGTACTAGTTTTCAGCTAACCCACCACTTCATTGACACAAACAAAAAGCAAACTGTCCTGGAAGGCTCCTCACTGGACTTCCTTTAAGACCAAATTAAAATAGGGGCGCCTGGGTGGCTCAGTGGGTTAAGCCTCTGCTTTCAGTTCAGGTCATGCTCTCAGGGTCCTGGGATCGAGCCCACATCTGCTCGAGTTCTCTGCTCGGCGGGGAGCCTGCTTCCCCCCTCTCTCTGCCTGCCTCTCTGCATACTTGTGTCCTCTCTCTCTCTGTCAAATAAATAAATAAATCCTAAAAAAAAAAAAAAAAAAAAAAGACCAAAATAAGATAAACCACAGGAGAGGGTAACTCTATACATTAGAAAAATACATTGCAAAATAAAGAGCAACTGAGAAAAGGGGAATGATTTGACAAGACGGTATCAAATTTTGAAGGGAGCCAACCGAACCACCGACATATGAGAAATACTGGCCAGAAATGCCTTCAAGAAGTACTGGGTGATTTCATCTCAGGCTGTGAAGAACTAAGGCGAACATTTTCTCCTGCCAAACCAGAAGCAGGACTGTACGTGGCAGTCAAACTGCACGGAAAAAGAAGTGAATGCTGATTAAATCAACACCCTGCTGACATTCCCAAGTTACTCTGTCCACTGGTGAGTGAATGAAATTCTTCTGACGCCCTAGTAGTTTTCCATAGCAAGTAATAAAGAAACATTTCACAAGGACACATGGATGATTTAGAAACCTTCAGTAGCTATCCATTGACCACAAAAGAGATTCCAGAAACTATGTACTACGACATTCAAAACCTCCAGGATTTAGCCTCAACTCACCTTCTAGCATAACTTCCTTACCTGCCATTATGCAAATTTTTTTCCCAAAAAGGTTCTAGAAGATTGTATCTCTTTTTTTTTTTTTTTTTAAGAGTTTACTTATTTTTTGAAAGAGAGAGCACTGTGGGGGTAGAGGGAGGGGAGTGGAGGGAGAGGACAAACAGACTCCATGCTGGGCAGGGAGCCCGATGCAGGGTTGGATCCCATGACCCTGAGATCATGACCTGAGCCAAAATCAAGGGTCAGATGCTTAATCGACGGAACCACCCACGCTCCCCTAGAAGAACTTCTAGATGTTTTTATAATTTACCACATTTCTGTTCAAGAAAATACACACAGTCTCAGTGCTCCAGTCATACCCAAATTCTTCATTTCACTCATTCACTTATTCAGCAAATATTTATTTTGTACTGAACTGGTGCCAAACACTGTGATAGTTGATGAGAATACCTAAAACCAAAGACCCTGCTTTCTAGATACTTACAGCCTCATCAAAGGGGACAAGTCTAAAGTATTTAAATCATCAATGAAATTAATTTCAGACTGTGTGGAATCTATAAAGAAATAAATGAACACACAACACTG